GCAGTACATTGAATTCTAATTAGAATTCGTTCAGGAAAATAGCAAAAAGCAATTAGCATTACAGTTGTCCAAGACGCAACCCGTTCTACTTGGTTTCTCCGTTGTGTCGCAAATTTTAGCCCTAATCCTCGTTTCTCAACGGCTGCCAAGCTTCACTGCTCATACGCCAACAATTCGTAAGCTCCACTACCCGGTTACTTTTGCTCAACTCATACATGTTTTCAGTGAAATATGCGGGCTTCAATCTAGTTATGACAGCCACCCTCTTTGTGATTTCATTGATTTTGGAGCGACTTGCTACTACTCCAACAGACATCCCACCTCCTCATACAGTGGATCGATTTGTGCAAATAGTAGACAGAATTCTACCTCTGCCAAAGGTTACTTTATAGGTATATTCCATATCCTTGGAATTTATCCCTTTTTCCAGAAATCCAAGCACGAGGACGAATCATTAAAATACGCGGGACTAGCACATGCAGCCAATCATGCCATTTTCTCTCTTGCCACGATAGTGTACCTCTTTGTTATACTTGATTCGTTTGTATTTTAATTGTTTTCGGCCCTAAGGCCACTGTAAATATCCTAATACAAAGATACTTCAGCACTACTTCGATTACTTCTTATTCAACAGCGGCTATTTCTACTTTGAAATACAACCGCGATCGTCGCCTTGTGCGATAAACATTACATAATAAACGAAAAATATGATAAAAACGACAGGTGAGAGGAATCGACTAATTCTATCGAAGCGATGGTAAAGACGAGTGAGACGGTACTTTTCGCTTTGGAAATTAGCTCTCTGCAACTCGTTCGGTGCTCGATGCATACTCCGCTCCTGAAGGTAGTTGTACTGTAAAATGAAACGTGCTTTGGATCAGGAAAAGTAGTACTGCTTTTTTGTAACCAAAACAACGCGATTCCTTGAGATAACATATTTCGTGGAAGATCAGGGTGTGGTGAAAATCCCTTATTCGTGCTAGGAAAACTCATATTCTGAACTTAAAGGTTCTAGCTGGTCCAAGTGGATAGGAAAATATATCAAGTCATAACTTACGAGCTATTCAATATTGTATTAGAAATCTTTCGCTGTACTTGAAATCTTGACTTTTCAGCGAATCGTATGAGATAAGTTCTTTTACCCTATATTCCGACAATATATTAAAATTTGAAGGATAAATTTTTGAACTCGTCAATCAAGCAGGGGATGTATGTAGCTCTTTGACGTATATTTTTTGAAAACGATATTCGAAAAAAGCTAGAGATGCATTTTCTTTCAGGAGGATACAGCACAATCGACGAGTAGTTGAGGAAAGAGGCCATAAAACTCTTTTAAAACTTTAGAGTACAAAATAGAAATTGTTTGAGGAAACGTCCCAAGAAAGGCAATTTTTTCCAAAAGAGAATTATGAATTATGTGAAGCATTAATTTCGAAAGTTGAAG